CTCAAATGGATAAAGGACTTAAATCTAAGACCTAAAACTATAAAAATTTGAGAAGATAACATTGGAAAAATCCTTCTAGACATTGCATGAAATCCTTAGGCAAGAATTTCATGATCAAGACCCAAAAACAAATGCAGTGAAAACAAAGATAAACTGTTGGGACTTACTTAAACTAAAGAGCTTTTGCATGGCAAAAGGAATAATCAACAGGGTAAAAAGACAACCCACAGAATGGGCAAAATCTTCAAAAATCTGTACATCTGAAAAAGGACTAATATTCAGAATCTACAATGAACTCAAGCAAATCAAAAAGAAAAAAACAAAAATCCCATCAAAAAGTGGGCTAAGGACATGAATAGATAATTCTCAAAAGAAGATATACAAATGGCCAACAAACATATGAAAAAATGCTCAACATCACTAATAATCAGGGAAATGCAAATCAAAACCACAATGTAATACCATCTTACTCCTGCAAGAATGGCCATAATCAAAAAATCTACTACACTGCTGGTGGGAATGAAAACTAGTATAATCACTATGGAAAACAGTGTGGCGATTCCTTAAAGAACTAAAAGTAGAACTACTATTTGATCCAGCAATCCCACTGCTGGGTATCTACCTGGAGGAAAAGAAGTTTTTATACAAAAAAGATACTTACACATGCATGTTTATAGCAGCACAATTCACAACTGCAAAATCATGGAACCAACCCAAATGCCCATCAATCAATGAGCGGATAAAGAAACTGTTATATATACACACACACACACACACACACACACATATATATATGATGGAATACTACTCAGCCATAAAAAGGAATGAGTTATGACATTCACAGGGACCTGGATGAGATTGGAGACTATTATTCTAAGTGAAGTAACTCTGGAACAGAAAACCAAACATCGTATGTTCTCATTCATAAGTGGGAGGTAAGCTATGAGGATGCAAAGGCCTAAGAATGACACAATAGACTTTGGGGACTCAAGGGGAAAGGGCAGGAAGGGAGTGAGGGATAAAAGACTACAACTACTGTGCATTATACATTGCTCACAAATCACCACTAAAGAACTTGCTAATGTAAGTTTATCCCTTCGCCTTCGACCGTAAAACACAGCCGCCCCCAAAGGGGCCATTTCAGAAGCCTACCTTCAGAGGCCATTCTCTTTCTCAGGGATGTTCCTTGCTGAGAAAAAGAATTCAGTGATAGTTCTCCTATTTGCTTTTGAAAGAAGAGAAATATGGCTCTGTTCCACCCACTCACCAGCAGTCAGAGTTTAAGGTTATCTCTCTTGTTCCCTGAACATTGTTGTTATCCTGTTCTTTTTTCAAGGTGCCCAGATTTCATATTGTTCAAACACACATGCTCTACAAACAATTTGTGCAGTTAATGCAATCATCACAGGGTCCTGAGGCAACATACATCCTACTCAGCTTAGGAAGATGATGGGATTAAGAGATTAAAGTAAAGACAGGCATAGGAAATCACAAGGGTATTGATTGGGGAAGTGATAAGTGTCCATGAAATCTTCACAATTTATGTTAAGAGATTGCAGTAAAGATAGGCATAAGAAATTACAAAAGTATTAATTTGGGAAAATAATAAATGTCCATGAAATCTTCACAAGTTATGTTCTTCTGCCATGGCTTCAGCTGGTCCCTCCGTTCGGGGTCCCTGACTTCCCGCAACACATAAATACATCTTTATTGTCTGATTCTCCTCCTGTATTATTTACTCCTTGAGGTCGAAGACCTCATAGCCTTATTTCACTAATATATTCCCAACACCCAGTACCTGGCACAAGGTAGGAAAGCAGTTATTAAACAAACTGAAGGACTAAATAAATGAGCCAATGAATGAATTAATGATAGCATGGAAGATTATTCAACAAAATGTTTTATGGATATAATCAGCTGATAGATCATGGATAATAACATTCTTCTATGTACATTTTTCTACTTATGCTTAATATCACTTGAAATATCTCTATATGCATATTCTTTAGGATAAAAGAATATTTTTAATGTTTTGTTTATATATTGAGGGCTCAAAATAACTCAAGAGCAACATTAGGATAATATTACTTCAAGGAAGCTTGTAAAGGAGGTATTGGGCAAGGAAATCCTACTGAAAAACTATCTTAAATGTTCACTGCAGTGAGAATCAAAGCTTTAGATACCAGAAAAATGAAGAGTATAAATAATTAACTATTAGGAAAACAAATATATTTGTCTTTTTTTTTTTTTTGAAATGGCATTTTGCTCTTGTCACCCAGGCTGGAGTGCAATGGCATGATCTTGGCCCACTGCAACATCTACCTCCCGGGTTCAAGTGATTCTCCTGCCTCAGCCTACCAAGTAGCTGGGATTACAGGCGCCTGCCACCACACCCAGCTAATTTTTGTATTTTTAGTAGAGATGGGGTTTCAACATGTTGGCCACCCTGGTCTCGAACTCCTGACCTCTGGCAATCCACTGGCCTCAGCCTCCCGAATTGTTGGGATTACAGGCATGAGCCAGCATGTCTGGACAGATATTTGTCTTTTTAAAAAACATATCAAAATGAGAGGTCAAGCTAGTCCTACCCAAAGTTCTTCACATTCTTCAAATGTATGGGAAGGGGCGCTTCCTGAACATGCTACATACAACCAGTAAATACCTCCCCAAAAAAGTAGCTCTTCTCCTCCTACCTCTTTACATTCTTTAAATGTAAAGAACCCAAACCTTAGCATCATGCAATGTACCCTTGTAATAAGCCTGCACATATAACCCTTGAATTTAAAATAAAAGTTGAAGTGGATAAATCCACATAAAGAACAAACTTTTTATGGACTTAATTGCCTGAACCTAAATTTCATTCAGAATTCAGAGTTCTGCACATGATACAATAAAGAACATTCAGATGTGATTTCCCTTGCAAAGTATATACAGAGATCCCAAATAGTAAGTTATAGCTCTTCTTCAAATGATGCTCACTAATTTACACACAAAGACATTCTGCATGTTTGTGCTATTCTATAATCTTACTCACAATGGAGATTTCCATTTGGAAAAAGAAGTAAATTATGAAAATTTTTCCTCAGTGTTAGTATATGTAATTTCTATGGTAAATATAAAAATTACAGGATATGTAGTTATGATTCCCATTCAATTTATTCAATAATTAAGTGTTGAGTGAGTCTTATATGCTAACAATTATGCTAGATCATGAAATGTCTGAGTATGAAAATAAATGTTAACAGGTTTCGAGCCTTCAAAGACCCATGGCCTTTTTCCTATTAACAAAACAACCATTTGACTTGAAGTTATGTAACGTAGGAGTAAAACCACAGAAAAGCACAAGCTTTGACAACAAACCAAGTAGATCAAAATTCTACCTCACTCTTTTTCTTTTTCATTCTTTTTTTTTTTAGAGACAGGTTTCACCCTGTTGCCCAGGTTGGAGTACAGTGATGTGATCATAGCTCCTTGCAGCCTCAAACTCCTGGGCTCAAACAACCCTTCCACTTCAGCCCCTTGAGTAGTTAGAATTACAGATGCACACCATGATGCCTACCTAAGTTTTTAATATTTGAAACTTTTTTGTAGATGGAGTCTTATTATGTTCCCCAGGTTGCTCTCGAACTCCTGGCCTCAAGCAATCCTCTTGCCTAGGCTTGCCAAAGTGCTGGGATTACAGGTGCGAGCCACCACACGCAGTCCTAACTCACTCTTTTAATACACATATGCTATTCCATTGTATGGATGTAGCAGTATTTATCCAACCAGTCCCCTATCGATATAGTATGCATTCAGTGTTTTCTGTAATTAGGTGACATAAGACAGTGCTGCAACACACACCCCTGCACACAGAGCCTTATGTTCTGATGTGTTTATTTACACAGAAATTAAAAGCAATAGCCTCCAGATTGCTGCAATCGTCTAACTAGTGTGCCTGCTCTGTCCTTGCTCTTTTATCATGTACATAAAAATTGTAACTTAGACCGTGTCAGTCTTCTGCCCCAATCCATCAGTGGTCTGTCAGTTCTCTTAGAGCAAAAGACAAAGTCCTTCGATGACCTGTGTCTCTTTGTGAATTGCTCATCTTCATCCTCGGTATCATTTTGACCCCATCTCCTACCACTCCCCACCACAGTTCCTTCACTCCAGACCCACTGGCCTCAGCACTATTCCCTGAATCCTACACAATGCAAGCCTTCACCTTGGAATTTCTTGCATTTGCTTGTTCCATCTACTTGGAGCTCTCTTTGCATAGGTCTCTGCACGCCCCACTCTCTCACATTCTTCAGGTCTCCTCCACTCAAGTGTTACTTTCTTAGCGGCGCCCTTCCAGAACATGCTAAATGCTAAATAAAACCAGTAACATACCTCCCCAAAAGAAGTAGCTCTTCTCCTCCTACCTCACCTTATTTTGTTCAAAGCATTAATTACATTTGACATACTTTGGATTTACTTGTTTATTTGTTTATTTTCTGTTTCCAGTCCTACTCCAAATAAGAGTACCACCCACAGGGGTAAGGACTTACTTTTTCCACTGCCATATCCCCAGTAACTAAAATTGTGCCTGGCACATAGTAAATGCTCACTTGATTTTTATTAAATGAATTGATAAAGGAATACGAGAGACTCAAAGCTAGGATAGATGCTGCCAGATTAATTTCCCCAAAATGTTGCTGCAATCAATATTTTTCTGCAAGATGTAAGAATGATTGTAACTACTTCCCCACGCTTTTACCAACTCTAGACATTATCATTCTTTTTGTTATTTGTGTATGTACTTTTTGTCTAAGGGATAGTTGCAGCTTTTATCAAGTAAATGTGAAATTCTAATGTGTATCCAAACACGCATATTTAATTTACTTCAGTATGTTACTAAGTGACAGACTGTACAGAATGCAAACAGAAACAATGCAGATAACTAAAGTTTCGAGCTAGTATTTTCAATAGTTCATGTCCACAGATTTTTAGCTCCAACAATTAAAATGCAAATCAAATACCTCTTCAAGGAGACCTGTCTAAGGCAGCAGTCTCTCAGTTTCAAGGAAGCATCTTTCAGCCAGCACCGTCCTTCTGTGAAATAAGCAGCTTCTTTGGCAAGTCTGAAAGAAAGAATGGGGAAAATGAGAGGATCACTCATTATAACTACCCTCCTGGAGTTCTTTCAAGAATATGCTTCCATGACAGATAAAGGGAATTCAGAGGCTAAGAGGCACTCTGTTAAGATTTACAGGCGGCTTTGGCACAGATCCAGATGCAAGAAAAATAACAAATGTGAACAGGAAAAGAAGGATGTGACAGAGTGAGAATATCCTTCATATGACATGAAAGGCAGTGATTCTGGGGATGCAAACTCAGCCTGTTGAATAGTCCTTGAAAATGGCATTTTAAAAGAACATCAAGCAGTTGGAAGACCTATGGGGAAATTGACAGGATCCAGAACTAGACAGTAGTGTTGAAGTATTGTAAGGCATGGATTTGCTTTAAAAATGTCTCAGTGTTAAAAGATAATTTCCATTTGTAGTGTAGAAATTACAAAGTCGGGTCATTTTTTGGATAGTTCTGAGTTAATAAAATGATAGCATAAACCAAAATTAACACTAAATGCAGTCATATTTCACTTTCAAGTTATTCTTTTCTTTCATATTTAATAGGGTTTTGGGAAGGAAGACAGGTACCTTTCCAAATTGCAAACTACAGATGTCCTACAAAACCCCAAAATATTCAGGCCTACTTCAGAAATTAGCCAAATCCCGCATTTTGGAGATAAAACTTAAGTTGGAGATAGAGCCAATAAAAAGATAAAATACTGCCAGACTACAGAAGACTCAGATGATTTCAATGATGTTGCCAACAGATGGTAAATGCAGGGCAGTGGAAGATAATGCCAAAATAATTACCTCTCAAGCCAGAAGCCAAACTAGGGAGTATGTTCTGAGAAATAATTATTCTACTCACTGCTCAGGAAAAGGACACGCACACACACAAATATTAGGAGGAAAATAATCAAATCTGTAGAAATAAAGGAATAGTACTTAGGTTAAATTATTCTATCAAAGGAAATGGAAAAGGAGAAAGAATAATTTAGATATGCCTCTTAAGAATAACATTATATGAAAGTAATTCAATAATAATAATGTTTGCCTTTTTAAAGCCATATGTGCTAGGCCTTGCGTCAAATGCTTTTATAAGTATTTTCTCATTCAACTCTGGATAATGCTGTGAGCTTGATTTTATTATTACTCAGGTTTTACAGGGGGATAAAGAAGTTAAGTTCTCTTTCCAAGGTCATATAACTTGTAAGTGGTGGAGCCAGGATCCACTGCTAGACATATTGATGACAGAGACTCCACTCTCGGATATTTCACTGCATAAGGTCACATTTTACAGGTAAACACCTAAAAAGCAGCTTAACTTTCTATCTGAAGGCAACCCAACTATGTAACCCTGGTATATGACAATGTTACTCTGTTCACCTAAGACTCAAAGACTCATTGATACAAACATTTAATTGGCACTTACTGTATCACAAATGTCACACTAGGCACTAGGGAGAAGATAATTTCAGCTCAGGAAGAGTATTCTGTGTAGTGGGTGCTATTAGGCCATTCTTGCATTGCTATAAAGAAATACCTGAAACTAGGTAATATACAAGAAAGAGGTTTATGTGGCTCACAGTTCTGCAGGCTGTACAGAAACATAATGCCAACCAGCACCTGCTTCTGAGGAGGCCTCAGGAAGCTTTTATTCATGGTAAAAGGCGAGGCAGAAACAGGAACTTCATATAGTGAAAGCAGGAGCAAGAGAGAGAGAGTGTGAGCAGGAGGAGCCACACACTTTTAAATGATGGGCTCTTGCAAGAACTCACTATCATGAAGACAGCACCAAGCCATAAGGGATCTGCATCCAGGATCCGAACACCTCCCACCAGGCCCCATCTCCAGCATTAGGAATTACAATCCAAGATGAGATTTGGGTGGGGACAAAAATCCAAACTATATCAGTACAGAATAAGATAGATATGTAAACAAATAATCATAATGCAATGCAAGAAATGGCATGCTAGCAGATACATTCATGGGAAGGTGGGAAGAAAGAAAGGGATGAGAAGTAACTGAAAGAAAGAAAACAGAATATCCAAAGACATTAAGTTGGCATTCACAAAAAAACATTCAAATACGGAATGCAGACCGTGACCAAAGAACATAACTATTAAAAATGCATAAAAAAATGCATGGAATAATTTTGCTGAAGAGTGTGCTCATCTAAGTAACTTTGGAAAGGAGTAAAGACTGTAAGACTAAATGCAAAGGAAACTTAACATAAGCATTATACTCTCTTTGATAAAATTGTTTTCCCTGAGGATATAGTTAACAGTTATTTTAAAACTACATATGTATATTGTAATTTTACAAAAAAGTAAATGGATGATGGATGATGAGAGTAAGATTTCTCACTATTGGAGCGGTAGATAACAGACAAGCAAAGAGACAAGACAAGAAAAATCCATGTGGTAATGTTTACAGTTGGGAACATCAGTACGAACTCCTGTCTAGCTTAATATAGATGTTGATGGAAATGTTTAGAGATGTGCATGTGTATGTGTTTATGCACAGCTTAGCATACACATATATGTTTTCTTGTTCTGTCAACGATAATTACCTACAAGAGACAACACACCAGTAGCCACACCTAAAGGCCAGATCTTGGTTTCTAATACCTTTCTCCAATAAAGGAACCAAATATCTTTAGAGAAATATCTGAGTCTAAGACTGGGGCAGTAAATGTACAAGATGAGTCTGGAGCCTGTTTTACTCAAGAATAAAAAGAAACAAACCCACGTTGATAGGTATATGACAAAATAATGGCACATGAGCTAACTGCAAGAGCTCCTAATGGCCAAAGCAGGAACAGTAATAATAAAATTATATTTGATTATAACCTAAAATATAAAATAAATATCCATTAACCCATACTAATATAAACAGCTAATTAAATAAATAGATGAGAGAGGACTAATAAGTTTCTTATGCCGAAGAATTTCAAATCATTTACAAAGATACCCCATTCTCAAGGAGGGGAACATAACTCTATAGTGGAGAAACCTGACAAACACTACTTCAGCCAGATAATCAAAGTTAGTATCAACAGTGGTTGCATATGTTGATTAGTATGTGCCCCTGCTATGACATGATAATAATGACACTTTGCTTCTGTGGTCTCCCTCCCAAATTCTCATAACACCAGTGCAATCATAAGCAAATCACAATATAAATCACTACTGAAAAATGTTCTACAAAATTAGGTTCTACCAATTTTGGCGAGTTTGGAAGACAGAAGATGGCCGAAGCATATTTCTCTTCCTCTGGCAGTAACAAGCAGTCATTTGACCTTCTCTCCTTGAGTCATCTTCCTTGATGCTCCACATTTTATAAATTTTCTTAACAGGAGAAAAAGCAGCAATTTCCTGATCCTTTAAAAATCTACAGCAAATAGAAAACACGTGACAGCCTTTCCTGACCTTCAGTCTTAGAGACCATTCAGTGGTTTTCTAAGCACCTAATCCCCGGTATTAAATTCCTTTCTTCTCAAAATAGTTAGGGTGGTATCTGTTTCCTGACTGACCCCACTGATAAACACATAATGTATACATTACAGCACCTAGCTCTCACAGGCACTCAATAACGTTCTACAAAATGTATGAACAGAACTCCTTCAAAATCTTCAAAGTCAACAAAATCAAGCAAAGTCTGAGAAGCTGTCCCAACCAGGAGGAGCCTAAGTAAACAGCGCTATGTGAAATGTAATATCATAGATAGGATCCTAGAACAGAAAAAAGACATTAGGCAAAAACTAAGAAAATCTGAGGAAAATGTGAACTTTAGTTGATAATAATGTGTCACTGTTGGCTCATTAATTGTAATAAGTGTATCATGTTGATGTAAGATATTAATAATAGGTAAAATCAGGTGTGGGCTATCTGCACAACTTTTGTATAAATCTAAAACTATTTTATATTTAAAAGTGTATTAAAACCAAATATCCATCACAAGAATTAAAAAGAATTTAAATAATATAGAAAAGAAAATTAAATATTTTTATATTTATGAGCTTTCATAAAAAGAAAAATAGCATTCATTGAATATGTACTTCTAAATATTAAGAAATTAAGTACCCTAGAAACTTACATATACATGAGAAAGATGAACACTTACCCTCAATATACAAAAAATTCAAAGAATAGAGCAACTTTTTAGCAAATTCTGAGAGGTAGAACTTCTGGGAGGGAAAAAAAGGCTCAAGCAAAGAGTTGCAGGATAAACTAATCTGACCTTCCTAAAGTGGATAAAATTGGTATTATTGAAGGATAAGATTGTCTCCCTGAATGGCTCTCTCTCTCTGTCAATTTCTAGCAAGTCTCTTTCTTATTTTTCTCACCAAAACATTAAAAAAGATGAGCCTGAAATGAACTACCAAGGACTGAATTAACTATGGTCAATTTTCACAGTAGTTGAACATAATAGGATCATGGAATCTCAGAGCAGGTCAAATCACCAGGGTCAATCCCTCACTGTGAGGAAACTGAGACCCAGAGAGATAAGGTGTCTTGTCCTACAAAATAGGTATAACTGGTGACTCATTTGACACTAGAGCCAAGTTTTCTTTAACTCTAGGGCCATGCTTTTACCCATGTATGACACCACTGATGGAAAAGAACTGCTACATGTTACTTCTTGCAGCCATTCTTTACTTCCTTACCTTTCTGTCTTTCTCTCTCTCTCCAATGTTTGTCTATCACAACACATTTTCTAACAGAGCAGATAGAGAGGTTAAAATACCCTCTACCCTATGCATCCCATACCCTAGATAATGAATAAACTTATATTCCATCCTTAAAGACAAAATGTTGTACTAGTATAAAGCAGCCATGCCCTAAGGTGACAAGTTAATCCTGGAACCAAAGCACACCAGCTCACACCAACATGCTTCACACCATAATAAACTCAGAAACTTCATTAAAGTAATGTTTGCTTATGAAGCTGGAACCAATTAAAAGTAATTAAACAAAAAAGAGTGATCCATTTCTTCTACTATATTAATT